TCCAACCCCCCTCTGCCCTGTCTAGAGTTCATCTGTTCCTCCCATGCTCGACCTCCCTATCCCACTATGAAATCAGCCTCCTTATATCAAAGAAAACATTTGGCATTTGGTTTTTGGGGATTGGCTAACTTCACTTAGCATGTAAAACCAAAGACTAAAGTCTCAAAAAAATCAGTATAGAACCCACAACTATGAAATAATTTTTTGATTAGTATTGCAATTCAGTGAAGATGAAGATGAAGTTAAAACTTTTCCTCTAAACTATATCTTTATTTGCCATATAATTTATTTGTATTAATTAAAATTTTCCCTGGAAAAAAAACAAATTTCAAAATGCACAAATGAGAGCATGCATAATATAGAATATTTTGACAAAGTGGATGTATCTGTGTACTCCAATGATATCAATAAGATAGCTCATTATTAGCATATAAGTAATTCGTATTTATCCCTATAAATCATTGATTTTTCATTGCTGTAGAATATTTTATCACATGAATAAATCAAAATTCATTTATTCCTACTTTGGAAGGATGAATTGTTTCTGACTATTTGATACTATAGATATTTTAAAATGTGTTTTGGACAAATGAGTACACATTTCTATTAAATATACAGAGGAGTGGAAGTGAGAGGCAATAAATTATACCTATGTTCATCTCAGGTAGATTTTACAAATTTTCTTCAGTAGTTGTACAGTTTAATGCTTGAGTGGTGTCTCATATTGCTTTAGATCCTCACTGGGGTTTGTTGTTGTCACTCTTGGGGTAATTTTGGTTTTTATATGACTAACCTCATTTTAATATTGATTTACCCTCCTCTGGCAGCTAATGAAGTTTGGGCACTTTTCTGTCTTATTGGTCACTGGATATGTCAGCTCTTGTGAAGTGTCTGATAAGGATCTTTGGGGTTGTGTAATACTTGGTGTATGCAGGATATGTGTCTTTTTGTGAAATATATGTTGTGACTATTTTTTGTCTATGTCTTGCCTTTTCCCGTTCTTAGTAGTGTTTTGGATAAACATAAAGTTTAATTTTAATGTAGTCTTTGTGGTTAGTGCATTTTATGTTCTGCTAAAGATGACTTTACTTACCATAAAGTTAGTTTTACATTTACAAAGCACCTAAATTTATTTTTGTGTATGTCATAAAGTGGGAGTCAATTATAATTTTATCCTTACCTGTAACCAGTTGGCTCAGTACTTTTAATTAAGAAGGTAGTTCTTTCAATATTATATTGCAATGTCATTTTGTCATAAACCAAGTGACTATATTTGTGTTGATTTTTCTTTAACTCTTCTTTAATCTTCTTTATATAACACACTATTTTAATTACTATACTTATATATTGAGTCTTGATTTCTGGTAATGTAAATCTTTTGATTTTATTCTTCTTCAAACTGATCTTGGTTATTCTTATTCCTTTGCATTTACATATGGATTTTAAAATTATCTTGCTGACTTCCATATTTAAAAATATCTGTGAGAATTTTGATTGATTCTATATATTGTTTGGAGGAGAAATGCTATCTTTTCAACATTATATTCTGTTTATAAACATGGTAAATCCTTTCACTTGCAGTTTTTATAGTCTTTCTTTCTATCAATAATGTTTTTCTGTTTTACACATAGAGGTTTTTCACATATTTTGTGTTTCTTCTCTTTGGTGCTTTTTTTTAAAATGCTATTGCAAATTGTATTTGTATTTATTTATTTTGGTACTGGGGATTAAACTCAGAAGCACTGGAACACTGAGCCACACCCTCAGTCCTATTTTGTATTTTATTTAGAGACAGGGTCTCACTTAGGGTTGCTTAGTGCCTATCCATTGCTGAGGCTGGCTTTGAACTCACAATTCTCCTATCTCAGCCTCTGAAGTCCTGGGATCACAGGTATGTGCCCCTATGCATGGCTGTATCTGTATTCTTAAAATTTCATTTTCTAATTGTGTCTTGTGATATACAGGAATACAACTGAATTTTTATATTGACCATTTATTTCGCTCACTTGATAAAATTCATTTATAAGCCATAAATATTTTACCGTACACGCCTTTGGATTTTTATATAAAGAGAGTTACATCGTCTACAAATAATGTCATTTTTCTCTCTAATCCTTATGTCTTTTATTCATTTTTCTTGCTTATTATGCTGGCTAGATGTTGAATAGAAGAGACATTGTTATCCTAATATTATGGAGCAAAGATTTCATGTTTGATAATAATGTATGATAGTTGCTGTAGGTTTTTATGTAGATACCTACTAATAGATTAAGAAAAAAAAATCCATTTCTTGAAGTGTATTGATTTAAAAATTTATTTCTAATCTAATAGCAATGAAGTCAAAGAATGCATCATAGTTTAAAATCTCTTAAATTTGTTGCATATTACTGATTGTGGTGGCACTGACCTTTAATCCTAGTGACTTTAGAGGCTGAGGCAGGAGGACTACAGTTCAAGGCCAGCTTCAGCAAGTTAGGAAGGCCCGTACTAAAATAAAAAAATAATAAAAAGGACTGGGATTTTGCCCGGTGGTAAAATGCCCTTGGATTAATCCCTACTACATTAAATAAATAAATAAATATTGTTGAGCCTATACCAACGTTGATTTAAATACAGTCTGTTCAGTACATATTCTATGTGTACTTGAAATAATACAAATTCTGTCACTTTTGAAGGCAGTGTTCTAAATAAATCAGATTATGAATGTTAATTTCCTTTTAAAACTTTCTATACGCTTACTGATATTTTGTCTACTTATTCAAAATATCATTGTCAAAATATTATTATGTACTACTTAATAGGTCTCTAGTATTATTACTGAGAGAAGTATGATAAAATATTTTGCTGTGACTGCTGACATGTGCATTTCCCTTCTCTTTTTGTCAGTTTTCCTTTGCTTCATATATATTGAAGAAAAGTTACCACATGGATATAAATTTAAAGTTGGTAAGTTTTCCTGATGTACTAGACCTTTTATCATTAGAAAATTTTTCTTTACCTCTAGTAGAGGTACTTGCCTGTATATTTCGTTTTCTGTTATTATAGCTACATCAGTTTTACTTTGAGTGATATTGACAAGATACATGTTTATCTATCCTATACTTTCAACTTCTCTGTAATCTGTAAAGGGCATGTGGGTATTTTGATGGCCTATGATTTGGTTGAACTTTTTTTTTAATCATCTCACATCTTTGTTTTATAATGGTTTATTTTAGTCCATCTGCAAGTAATGTAATTGCTGATACATTTGAGTTTATATTGACTCTCTACTCTTTATTTGCTATTTATTCCAACTGTTCAACATTACTAAATTTTCTTTCATTATTTTGCACTAATAAAATATTTTCATTAATCTACCTCTTCTGCCCCTGGATAGTCTGATAATTATACTTCACTATGTCTTTTTTTTAATTACCCCAATACATTTATTATGTAGAAAATGTAAGATGTCTAGAATACTATATCTTAATTTACCCATTGATTTCTTTTTGTATTATTGTTGCAACATGTATTCTAATCTAAATATATATAAAAACAAAATATATTATTTCTCTGTGGATTTGATATATTTGGGTGCACACACATTTACTTTTGCCATTTCTCTTACTCTGAGTTTTCTTTCTATTTGCTTCTGAATTAATTTTTACTCTCCTCAAATAAATCTTTCACTATTTCATAAAAGTCTGTTACTAATGACTAATATCAGTTTTTTAAAATTCTAATTTATATTCATTTCTGAAGGATACATGATCTGGGTATAAAATTCTAATTTAGTAGGGTTTGTTGTTTGTTTGTTATCTTCTTTCTTTTCATCAATTTAAAGATAATGATTCTGGCTACCATTGTTTCTTTCACTTCTTTGAAAGCAATGATTTCTTCATTTTCTGGGTGGTCTTAAACTTTTTCTCTTTTTTATAGTTTTAGCTTATGCTATGATGAAGAATCTTTTGTGATTTCCTTTTATAGTTTTCTTTAAATTTATCCTTCTTCAGGTCCATAGGATATCCTGGATTGTCCTTTCAGTTTTCTTCACTGATTAAGTTTTTGCTAATAATTTCTGCAATATTACACTTGTTATAATCTTCCTGTACTTTCTTTTCTGAACTCAAATAGCATAGCATAAATGTTAGACTTTTTTAAAACTATAACTTACATATATTCCATTTTTTATCTGAACTTCCATGTACTTATTTTCCATTCTAGATACTTAAACTGATCTTTCAGCTTTGTGATCCCTTCTTTAAACTCTTTCCAAACCACTTTTAAGCTTACTTTTTGAATCTGTGTCCATTATGCTACAATTTTAGATGTACAGTTTGTTTTTGATTATTTTTATATGTTCCAGTAATGTGATAAAATTCTCAGAATTGATTAGTTTCTTACATATTGATCAATGTATGTCAAATTCCATTTGTGCAACTTCTGAACTTTCTTTTATTGTCTGCTTATTACTTCAATATTCTTTCTTCAATAAAACTAATATTTTTTACTGAATATTAGATATCGAGTTTGATTATAAGAACCTGTTACCTCATTCTAGTCATTTGATCCTTTGGCAGTTATCAAAAGGAAAGAACATCTTAGTATAATGATGTACTGAGCTGACTAGAAGCTGGCGTTATATCTTTGTAAAGTTATTTAGCTCTTTGCAAAATTTAGCTTTCCGAGTTTCTCAACTGAGATTTTCTCTTGGACTGTAGAACACCAACATCCTGTCCTGCCTTATATCTTCTTTCTGCCTGATTTCTTAACTTACTACTCAATACAGATTGCTTGGTAACTTCCTCATAGAGAAAAGTGGTATTACTCCTTTCTTTTTTCTTTGGATTATAGACCTGTCAAATTTCTCTCTCTTTTGGTAGCACAAAACTCAATTTTTGCCTTCTGAAACTTCTCTGCCCCTTAGCAGCTGGCCTACATTTGCCTTCTCATCTTGTTGACCTTAATCAAGAATTGGCATTTGCAAGAAGAGAAAAGATAGTATTAAAAACTGGGTTTGCTTTAATCAGTTCCTTTTTTTTTCTCTGAGCTTTCCTTCAAGTTCTGATTGCTTCAGTTGCTTTCAATGCCTTCCTACTGACATCTTTGACTGTTATCCAGTTTTTCCTAATTGTTCTCAGTGGTAGCTTTGCTCTATTATGTGTTGTTCCATTATATTTAAAAGTGGCAATATCTTCCTGTGTTTTTTGCCGGGGTGGTGATTAAATTAGACAATATTTAGTAATATTTCATATGTTAATGGTTTGTTTTAAAATAAATAGCTCAGGCTGAAACAGGAGGATGGCAAGTTCAAGGGCAGCTCCAGCAACTTAGTAAGGCTCTAGGCAACTAAGTGAAACCCTGTCTCAAAATAAAAACTAAAAAAGGGCTATGGATGTGGCTCAATGATAAATTGCCCATGAATATATCCCCAGTACAAAAAATAAAATGAAATAAAGTAAATCACTCAAAACTTTAAGTTCAAGGGAACCAACGTATAACCTTCAGAACATCCTCTCTTGAGCAATTATACTGTAAAATTATATTCAGATATTCTGCTATTATCATTTAAATTATATGTATTATATAGTTATATTTTAATATATTATTAAGTTATAAGTTTAGTTTGTGGCATTTTGTTATAATGTTAAAAAATAGAAGGGAAAAATACCTCAGGTTATAATAATGTACTTGGTTCTTAGGGTAAAACCTTATATGAGTGCTTAAAATAGAATCTCAATTATTAAATTATCTTGGATGAATAAGGATATCTATTCAGCAATATAATATAATGAACAGTGAGCATTGTTAGAATGAGGATTTAGAATCATAGTTCTAACTGTGGGTTAAGAAATTACATAAACAATATGCATACTATATACAAAATATTTCACAAGTGAGGTCAGCCTTAAAATTCCTTACTGAAGCGCCAGATAGTAAGTAGATACGGTGTTAGATGAAGTATTTTTGGATTTTTATATTCAGCAACTAGTTTCTCTTGACATTACACAATCACTGTTTGCAAGAAAAAAATCCATTTTAGGTATTTGATCAAAATTAGGGGTTGGCCTTTCCTGTATGTCTTAGTACCTTCATTCTCAGCAAGCTTTAATTCCATGTTTTCCTCTCCTTCCCATTCTCCCACATAATCTTGCTTGAAGTGTATCCCATTTTGTTAGACTCACATTGTGAAACAGCTGATCTGATAAGCTGATATAAGATGCATGTTTCAAGAGGAATGCTTTAAACAAACCTTAATCAAAATAGTGCAGATCTCAAATAAAATAATCTAATGGTACTATGGTATATATACATTTTTTAAAAAGGAAACATTACTTTTTTCATTAATCATTTGCATAAGCCTTTAAATTATACCTTTCTCATTATAAATATATAGATTTGAATGTATTCTAAATAAGTTTTTTCCTCTTAAATAAATTCCAACGTGGGAGATATGTTATAACAACTGTCATAGTAATTAGGATATTCTTATGCTTTGAAGGTTTTCTTTTACCCAAGGTAGCATCTGGTTTTCTTTATTTTGTCAATTGCAATTTCCCAGTTTCAGGACATTTTAACATTTCCTTTCAAATTAAGGTCTTATGAGTGTCTGCCAGGTTTTATGGTTCATAAGCATAATACTCTTGGATGTTTTTATTGGGAATTATAAGTTTTTATTTTAAAGTACAGGTTTTTGGGAAGGATTTATTTTTAAATCTATGAAAGAAATGATCTAATTCATTCATATCTATAAATCATTTTATTACATCTATTCTACAAAGATAAATTTGTTTCAATGGTATTGAAAGATGCATTAGAAAACAGAGTACATGTATTGTTATTTGTATCTAAAAACAACTTTGAAGATGTTTTACATGTTCAAGAATAAAACCATAAAAAGATAAGTGAAAGAATTTTTATATCATTCATGGACTTTATCCTCAAAATATATGGTCCTGATATCCTAAGTGTTATAGGCAGATTATTTCTTCTACATAAATTGACAACCACAGAGTGGTATCACTGTGGTTACTATTATTCTTTTATCTGTCATTAAACACCATGATACTAAATTATGGTATCTAAATGGTATTAATATAAAAATGTCATAACTTCAAAACATTGAAAATCCTTGGTCTAGCTGTTATAACACCATGCCCATGAAATATAGCTTTATGCCTCTTTTACACTGCACTTATGTTTAAATTTAATGCCAACATTTCATTGCTAAGAAACATGTTAAGTGAGGATAGAGACACCATATTTATTGAAGGGCACATCTACATTGGCAGGTGTTTTCTGACTTAAACATTTGTTTCAGATAATATTTTATTCAGGAGCATCTTATCAGCCAAAATGTTTTCTCTTTTTTTTTCCAGTTTTGAAAATTCCAGTTTCCTCACTACATATTCTAAGCTGGAAATGTTTGAGAGGGAATTTTCTTTTCCTTTGGTCCCAAATGCTTCAAGACTCTATTGACAGAGAATATTTCAGCTCTTTAGGCAATGAACTTTGTTTTCCAAATGTTATCTCTTTACAAGTAGGCTTCTAGATAGAATCTTCTTATTTGGAAACAATTGAAAGGGTATGTAAGTTTACAGGTCAAGGTTGAGGGACCTGAAAAGCAAGAACTAGAATATGCTACTTATTAAGACCATTTTCATATTACTTTCAGAAAGACAAATGATTGAGGTTCTTAAAGAAACTGTCTGCTGACAATGTCAGGAATTAACACTTAATTTTAAATCTGTGCTATTTGACCTTAATTTTTTTTTTTGTGAACAAAAGTTACACTTTTCACTAATTTGCATTGCTGCTACTTTCATTTTAAATTGGAATTTTTTATCACCATCCATCTGTAAGATACCTCCTGTTACTAATTTCTGACATGGATCCTCTCATTAATATGAGATTCACAATTGCATAGATTAAAAGTTATCTGATTATATCTGGCTCATCCCATGTTTTATCATTCTGTTCCTATATTTGATAGAGAATGATTTAGCTGTGACAATGTTAGTATATAAAGATACTGAGTCAGATAGTAACTCTTGGAAGAGTAAATTTTAATATATCTGATGACAGTTTTCTTTTACAGGGCTTAACATTACTAGGCAAAGTTTTCTCTTTAGCTATCTTAATAAAGTAGGAAATATAAACTTTGTATTTTTTAATTTTATAAATAGTAAGGATTTATATGTAAATAGAGTTGAATAAGAATTTAAATGGTTTTCTAATTAAATATTATGCATGCCTAAGTAAAACAAATTTCTTCTTTTCTTTTTATGATTAATTAGTTTGAAAGCTCTTGAAGCAAAGGAAATTTCTGTTACTGATAACAACCTTTGTAAGCACAGGAAACAACATAAAAAACACATTGAAGACTGAGGACCAAAGGGTGGAGTTGCTGAGAATTAAGAATCCTCTGAAATACATTTTACACAGAAAATCTTAATACTCTTAATTGGTTGTTTAGATCAAGGACAACTAAACAAAACTTCTCAACAAAACACAGGATTGAACTTCAGAGGTCTGTAAGAACTGCATTTGAAAGCACCAACAGAGACATCAAGAATTCTCTTTGTAATTCCTGATTTACTTTTGTAACTGAGTTGACCAGTGCTAAATTTTGAGTCTACTTGGAAACTCTTAACAACTCTTCCTTCATTTGCTTCAGAATAGAGCATTGTTAGCTATTAAGTTCCCATCTTTAATACCAAAGATCATATTCAGAATGATTCAAGGGCTCTTGCTGCTGCTGTCTGGTTTCCATAATTACAACAAACTCTATATAGGGTTGTATACAACTAGTAGTCTCTTCTTCCCCTAGTCTGTTCCAATTTTGGCATTTCTTCCTTGACCAATCAAACATGTTAACACTGAGGAGAGACATGCACATTGATTAGTGCTTCCTAGACATGGTACCTTTATTTTCTCTTTGGAATAATAAAGATGGCACTCTCTGCCTTCTAAAGTGGTTGGCACAGCGAAAGGGAAAGACATTTTTGTGAAAGTACTTAGCATAGTGCCTAGTCCCTAGAAGGTGTTAATAAATATTGGTTCATTTCTTATTTATTTTCTTTCTCCAAAAAACCTACCTGGCATGATGAGAATTCTTAATGCTCTTGGTAAGAAAAGCTTTGGGGGCAAATGTGTGTCTAGCAGTCCTTAACCATTCCATGTAGGTGAACACCTAACCTTTTTAGACTCCTCCATGTTGTCATACCACCTTAAACTCATCTGTCCTTATGCTGCTCCAAAATTTCTTGCTGTCTGACTTAGTTGAAATTTGAATAATCAGATACCATAATGTTTTCTTAACAGCACACCAAATGCATCATAGAAGAACAGGAAAAAAGGAAAAAGAAAAGAAAAGGTAGCCTGACAACCCAGATAATTACTGAAATGACCATGGAAAAGTGAAAAGAACTCTTTTCAAAGTGGTGAGTTCTATTTGCCCTTTTCTGTTTTTGAGTTGGATGTGCCAGTAGGGTCTCTTAACCTTTTATTACTCAATTTTAGTATCAGAGTATTGAACTAGACCAAGTTCAAAGATTTCTCTAGAGCACTGGTACTATGAGATACTCTAAGAAAAATGAGTCAAGCTCATTTTAGAACTGTTATGACTTGCTACTCATGTACCCAATCTTGGATCACATTAATCGAGTCTCTTGGAATTCCTGGGAAATAAAACTTACTTATGATTATCTATTTGGTGCCCCCCCACAAGTTATTACTTTTTAAAATTCATTCTCAAAAACACTGGTCTATTCCATCTTCAAACAATGCAAACTTTAAGAAAATGGCCATTCTTGAATCTTAACTTGCCATTCTTGATTTCTCAAATTTTTTCTTGAACCTATTTTCCTAAAGAAGGTATCAATTTCTTGGCCTTATTGACTTATTTAGAGTCACAGTGACATTAATTATTATTGGCAGTTGGAAACAGTGTGGAGACTGAAGGCAGCCTGTCATCCTAGAACACCTTTTTCTTTTTACCAAATCTTGAAATATGAGACATGTGATTACTAAAAGGTTATTGCTACTTCTCACATTTAACAATGCTTTTTTTTCTCTTTGTGGATTAATTGTACATTTTTTCAGTCAACGTTAAATTAAATTAATATAAATTTCTAATGAACTCCTATTCCATGTCTTCTAATGCACTGTGCAGGAATGTCTGCCTTTCCTCTCGCTCTTTTGTGGCTGTATTTGCCAAACTTGGGACATCAAGCAGAGGTTTAGAAAGGTTAAATGTTGTAGTCTTTGGTTCATAACATGGTAAAGAGTCCAAGGCCAAATTATGCTCTGGAACATAATTAGAGGCCAAGTGACAGAGGGATTCTTGACCTTTCTGTGCCACAAACATCACAGGCCATTTGCCTTCTCTGTTTCCCATTTCCTATTGTGACAAATGGCATATAACTAAATCCTAGAATTTCTCAGTTTCTTTTACATTCTAATCATCCAAAGAATTCTTCAGCTAGTTAATAATTCCTTTTCATCATAATAGAAGCCTTAGAGCATAATTTCGATCACAGTTAAGCATAGTTAAGTCATGCAGAGTTAATTAATAGGCATTTTATGTTTTGTATGTCAAGTATTTTTGTAGGATGAGCCCTGGAATAGGTGTCACAGACATTGCTGTGAGGGTATGCATGTGCCCAGGTTGGGAAGAAATAAATGAGGACTAGGTAAAAAGGGAAAAAAAAATTGAGAATGTGAAGGGCGATTACTCTAGCTGACAGAGTAGTGTTTCTTTAGAGAGGAGACCACAATTTACATTGTGATTGAAAGAGGTTATGTCAAGTGCTGAGCTGAAGGAATGTGTGAAGTGTACCTGGTGATGAAAGGTGGGAGTTTGGTCTTGAATGTGTCTGGTGGGAATGGAGCAATGGCTGGGGCATGTTTTCAGTCTAAGTGACAGAGGGCAGGTAAGTGTAGTTTTTACTATTTCTTCATCGTGAGGATTAATAGTATGTACGTGCCAACTGATGGAGAAGCAGATTTAGGTTCAATATTGAATTTCAGAGGGGTTATCAAAATAAATACTGCATTATTCCACCAGAAAGTCTTAGTAAACAAATAGAGTACTTTATTTCTTTAAAAAAATTTAAAGCCTTGCTTGTTAAATATTAAACTTGACATTTTGATTAGCATGACTGTCAAAATGTTCTCTGTCTTAGGGGTAATTAAACATTTTGTGAGAGCATATCCCATTTTCCAGCATAGCTTTTTGATCAATTGTACAGAAATATCACATATAGGAAACATATATAATTTGTTGATATACAAGTCAGAAAATTACACTAATGGTTTTAATTTACATTCAACCCTAGCCTTCTATTTTACAGGAAGAAAATTTGTGCTTCCTTTAATTGCACAAGCAATTAGGCATTTACACTCTTAAAATTAAGAGAAAATGGCTAATTGTGTATGCAATATCTGTGCCCACAACTAACAGTGGCTACAAACAATCCTGCCACCAAAATTCAAGCCAGGGATAAAAAGGCGGCCCCGAGTCATTGCCCTTTTTGAAGCTTGGAACATGCTTTGCTCATAACTTCAGTGGCTTTGAAAGTTCTATTTCTGACAGACGTAAGCATTAGCCTGTAGTGCTCCTTACAGTCTGAAGTACAAATTATTATCATTTAAATAAAGTGGAAATGGTGACAAATTCTGAACAATTTTATTATAAGATATATTATATTTGAAAATTTTCTCTGAAGTATTTTAGACCAATCATGTTGGAAATTTATGTTAATATGAGTGCCTGATTTTTTTTAAAGTTACATTTCATGCTCTTAAAGCCCACCCAGAATTTGTCTCTAGTCATTTTACACCACCTCAAATGATACCCTAATATTTAGAGCCCCCAAAGTACCACAGGAATTAACTAAATATGTCACATTCACAAAAATTGCTGTAGAAATGAACAAAGGATGAGTTTGTGTCTTTCCACTTAACATGTTTATTTTGTTTATATACCATTAAATTTATCTTGCATTTTTCTCACCACAGTAAGTAGAATATGCTTTCTGTGTTTAATGTCTACCTTTCAAAGTAGAGTTTGGAAGTAAACAGTGTCCATTTACTAATTAATGTCTCCATTTGATGTCTCCAAATAAGAAAGATTTTTGAATACCCTTCCCCAACCTAAATGCCCTTTTAAAATTCAGAGATTTAAAAAAAAATCTCTAATAACAGCTGTTAAACACAAAAATCTATGAGATTAAATTTGTTATAAGTACATACTGGAAAAAAAAAATCTCTCCTTTTGTAAGAGCGAGTTAGAAGCCCAGAAGAGTGTAGCCAAGCATAGCCAACAAACTCGTAATTCTACTTTACTCTCTCAGTCTGATATTCTAGCCATTATTTTTGTTGTTTTTCAAAAAATCTAACTACCCTTGCACTTATGTCATAAAAATTCTGCCTTTTTTCCCTTTTTTAATATTTGTATTCAAGACAAACAACAGGAGGTTGAAATCAGGCCATTTAAAAGAAACATCTGCTGACATTTATTCATATGCTACATGTTCCACTTTCATCATTGAATGTAATGATAAACACACATTCCAGTCAATAATGGCAATTCCCAGCCAAGCTTTACAAATGGTCTCTTTAACACCTAAATTGACAGCTCGGGAGATTTTGAGATAGAAGCTAAATATGGTACATTTGGACACTGTTTGCCTAAGTCTAGGATGTCTTGGAGACTTTAATAAGCAGACATACATTATCAAATAGAAGAAAGTCTTGACTGTGCAGGTATTGGAGCAGTGAAGTTTGACACTGGTTGAGCAGATTAAATGCAGAAAAAAAAAAAAAAGAAAAATCCTTAAAAACAAATGGCCTCTCCTAAGAGTATGGTAAAATAAAGATCTGGCCCACAGTATGTGTAGAGTAGTTTCATTTAAGAGCAAAAACTAATTGTAAATTGTTTAAATTATAGAATTTAACTCTGGCATGCTAAAAAGTCGAATATTTATTTTGTTTCCCAAGTTAATTAAAATAAACCCTTCTCCGAGTTTAAATTATTGTTAGAACATTATGATAAAATATTAAATGTATTTCATTTATTGCTTGTAATGAGTAATTATGCCAACTTTTAATGTGCTAAGGATTTCTTTCAAGAATATGCCATAAGTTCTGATGCAGATTCCTAATTTTTCCTTAGAAAGTGGTGTATCAGATAAGTCAACTAACAACACTCAAGGTAGCCATTGAAGATCTCATGAAGGATTGAAATTAGCTTTAGTCTTTCCTGTGAGGACATATAAACACATACTCCTTGGAGACATTAAGGATCCCATTTTATGTGTATCTTTTATGCATATTACTTTACATTTTGGTTCAGATTGATTAACCTTATAACTGAATCATACACTGTGTTCCAGCCAAGCAGAAAAAATCACAGCTTTGCCCAGCTTCGTCCTGGGTGAAGAGTTTTTCTTTTCAAAACTCTGCCGTTACTGTGTTTTAAAACAGGTCACTTGCTACTTGACTGAAAAGAATCTAGACATTTGACAAACTATCCTTGCAACATAATGAGAGGTTTGCAAAGTTACCTCAGATAATGTCATCTAGAGAACAAGTCACACCAATCTGTAGTGCTCCGATTAATGGTATTTTTCTCTGAAATCAGCTCAGTTGAAGAGACAGCTTGAAATTGTTTTTTTGTTTTTTGATTTTGTTTCTCGGTGCAGGACAAATGGGGCTAAATTTGGAATGTCAGATTACGATGTTTTCATCTGCTCCCAAGGCATGTTGAGAAAAGTAGCCAGACAAACCTTAACACCTTATTACCATTCGATGTGGGAAAATAAAAAATTCAGAATATGAATTTACAGTACTTCATAGTGTGTGCCACAGCAATATAAAACATTTCTTGATTGTGGTGGGCGGAGGACAAGTTGTGAGGACTTCCCAGGGAGGATGATAGAGGTCTGGATCGAAACCACAATTTCCAGGGTCATCATTTAGAGTAGTAACAAGTATATTATAAAAAAAACTTTAATAACTCAATTTTTTTAATAATGTCATCTCCCATGAATCTATGGAAACTAGTTCAATGAAATCTTCCTCCAACTACCTACTTTCTGTGCAGTAAAATGATGGTGGATAAACCAATTCATTAAAGCTTTTGGGGAGAATTTAGAGGAATGAGTTGATTTCTACTAATACTCTGTCCTAAAATCTTTTCAAGTGTGGATGTTTGGCAGGAGTGTAACCCAGACCTGCAGCAACTACACTTGAGCAGAGTGTACTTAATGGCAAAAGGGAGAGAAAGTAGTATGCACTCTCTCCCAGGCCCCCAAAGCCAGAGCGGAGTGAAGATGGGACGCCAAATAAATCTGCCAGTGATTACGCTAAAGGAAATTATGATCTTGTTATAGAAACCATTAAAGGAAAACCAGAGTTGGTATGTAAATATTGTTGCATCATTATACCACTGAAAAAAACAACCTAGTGCAACATTAGTATGTTATGCAATTAACAAAATGAAAAATGAGCTGCTTGAATTTAAAGCTTTTAATGTTTTTCAAACAGATAATAAGCATTTTCAACACCAATGTAAAACGTAATAGAAAAGGTCTCCCTCAAAGAGTGACATATTTCATCAATACTTACTATGCATTAAGGAGCTAATAGGCGTTTGCCTAGTTCTATTATTTGTTGTTTTCTAACTCATCAAACAGCAATCGCATATAAACTAAAGCAAGAGGAAGATAAAAGGCTTGCTAGAAGATCAGAACATTTGATATGTGTAATATTTTAAGAAATGATTGGCCTATATGTGCTTTTTTAATTTTGAGAAAAACGGCTTGGGTAGCCAACCTTCTTTAGGCCAAAGCCCATTATTAAGCACTGTGTAAAATATTTTAAATCCAGAATTACTTAAAAGATATTAATATAATTGTTCAAAACCATAGAATTATAAAATATAATTAAGAATTAATATATTATTTAATATCTTTATTGTTCCTGAAGCACCAGCAATTCATTTATATATCCAATTATCCCAATAGAACCTAAAACATACTTTAGCAGAATTACTTCAGTGGAAAATGGGAAAATAAAAAACTTTTAAAAAATATGCCATAACAGATTGTAATACACTATATGCTGAGCAAGTAATATAATATAAATATGTAAATTTTAACTATCTATTCATATTATTTCGCTGCTGAACAACAAAAACCCACAGCTACTTACTGATTAGAAGTCAAATAATTGCTCAATCAAAAACAATTTTATAAAAATGAACTTACATTACCAACAATGAAGCTATTTACTTTGTAGATGATGATGACTTTTCAGTATCAAATTCAGAACAGTAAGGAAAAATTTCATAGGGGGACAATGCAACTTTCATAAATTATATTCTAAATGAATATAATTCACTGTAGGCACTAGAAAGTTAATATGTTCTCTAAAGATTTCTTTAATTTAGTTGTTGCTAATTTATTCACACTAATACAGAAAAAAATACTGCAAAATTTTTCATAACAAAAAAACTGTGCATATCTCTGTGTTTTAGCTGGCATGTGGTTCTACACAGATGGTTTGGGGCTTTCTTTGCTGCAAAACAGATGGGCTTGCACTGTCCCTTACCAATCAAAAGAGAACTCGAAAAATATAGGAATATCTTTACCTACATTGCGTCCTTTAATTCAAGAAATTAAAATGCTTAAAAGTATAAATAACTGCCTATGGAAAATAATTTCTGAAATGGATGTCATATGTTGAAATTATACAGTAACCTAGTTCATGTTTAATGCAAAAAATATAAAAAGTTTGGCTTGTGCATGATACTGTTTGTAACATACAACTATTAACTTAAGAAATTTACAACTATGGAATGACTGCTATCATGTGTTCACCTTGCCTAAAAAACACTGCTGTTTTAAAACTTCAAGTGTAGTTAAGCATATTTCAATTCAAAGTGATCATTCTAGGCAGCATCATCCACTGAACCAAGTTAGCAAACACATATAAGTTTAGTATGCTCATAGCTGACATACTTTTGCAACCAAAATAAAAGCTAAAACAAAGCTCAGTTATCCTGAAATGCTGTATTACTTTAATTATTCACAATAGAAATTGGTCTTTCGTATACTGAATTGGAATTGTGGCCTACCTTCAAAGGTTTTTGTGGAAATGTGGAAGCATGCTACTTGAGACTATTAAAAGCACTCTCTTTGTTTTGTATATTTTAGTAAATTTTACAAAGTAACGTGGCAGCACACTCTCAGAGCATCACCATGTGAGAGACAGACATCGTGGGCTCATGAGCTTGGAATAGTGTTGCTTATAGGAAGAACTCCTGCTGCTCTTATCTTCAATACACAAATAGAATTGTTAACCTATGATGCCGCAACCACTGTTTGATATTTTGTAAACAGATGTTCTAATGATGAATTGCTTCTCAAGCATAGTCAGAGCTTTGGTCAGCTTCTAAAGGTTGGTATTTCTCTAAGGTGTGGTCCATAAAGACCAGTTGGGCTATTTGGTCTGCCTTTATTCACCCAGAATAAGTAGTTATCAGAGCATAATGCACCCTGTATTTTATTCATCTCCCAAACAAAGCATTTATATAAAATACATCATTTTCAGGAAAGGAAGTTATGGGTTTATAGTGTTTAACTACAAAAAAAGTCCATCTAGCTATTAGTATACATATCGAATCTATATATACTCATATTCATACATACATAGATTTACATATATTCCCAAGTATCCATGTATAAATGTATATAACTATATTTTAACTCTATATCTATAGGATATATCTATACATAAGATATATATATATATGTATATGTATATGTATATGTATATGTATATGTATATAAGGTATATATACATGCATATCTTCATTTCTTGCAAGTATTTTACCAAGGAACAGAGTAGGATTCATTTTCCACACATAAGCAGTGTATCTTAAATTGGTTTCTTTTCTTCAATGTTCCGATTCTGAAAAGCAACTGAGTATTTTTTCTTTTGTCTGTGTAATGCAAAATAACAGCTTTGCTTGTATTTTTTCAATTACATGAAAACCAATGTCTCTCGTAGATCTATGATGAAAGGTTTTGCCAGGCTAGTAAATGTAAATAAAACTGTAAAATAAATATATTTAAGAAAAGAAACTGCTCTCAAACACTCCTAAATACTTTGGCAGCATTTACATAAACAAACAATTGATATGAAAATTGCAAATAATTTTTTATCCATTTTTAAAATTAGTTTCTAAAGATGTCTTCTAGCCTAAACCTAGATCAAATTACTGTGGTTAAATAAAATAAAACCACACTCAAAAAAGTCTCAGTTTTAGTTTTTTAATAATCTGTACTCCATTTTCTTGATATTATTACAGATTGCTGACATAGTGTTCCAGTGCAATATGAGTTATGAAGTTTTCTGGCTTTGCATACAGTAAATAAATATTAGTTGCACTAGAGAATCAAGGAACATGATCAGAAAATTTAAGTTTTGCGGCATTTTTAAGAAAACTATCTGGATTGTTGGCAATATTCTGACTCTTCAGGGGGAAGCAATACATTACAAGGTAAAAAGCCCAATTAGGTTGAGCATTTTCTGAATGATTCTAGATACTGATAGAGGATATTGCTGTATAATTGCTTGGCTTTGGAAAATTTAGATTGTGCCATCAGCAAAAACTGCCTCATACATGGCTCTTCTGTGTCCACCTACAAATAATTCTGAACATACATAAAACTCTGTAAATATCAGTGCTGATTCCTTGGAAAATTAGACTGTTTTTAGAGCTTGTTTCTCAATTTAAAAAATATTTTGGTAATTGGTGAAGTATTACAATTCTCAGAAGCTTTAGTTTTCTTATTTGCCTTTTGTTTAATACCAGACTTTAAAATGATATTGTTTGTTAATATTCAATATACTAAGGAATAAAAATCAGCAACTCCTGCTCATTTTTCCTCATTTCATTTAGTAATATCTGTGAAAAGTGGGGGACAAGGCAGAAAAAAACATTACTGTTATTTGTCCTTGTAGCAGATTATTGTTTTCATTGTTTGTTTTCCATGCCTGTGATAAAATTATAGTATGCCTCACTGACAGCAGATTTGGTCACAGGACTTTCTTATCCAATGGTCTATGAGCCAGAGTGATTTACATCACATCAAAGCGAAGCTTTAAGAGCGACTGCATGACTTTCCCATTACTGTTTTCACGTCGTTGTAGGCAAGGATAGCTCTGCCTGTATGAACCCTGGAATGAAGAGACAGAGGGAGTACAGCCACAGTGGCCCCCAGTTGACTTGTCACATAGGGATGAAGTGAACCTTTGTTTAGCAGGCCCCTGACATTTAGGGGTTGTTTACTTAGCAAAACCTAGAATAAGCTGGCCAATGAGGAAATAAGAATGTCCTAAAGATATTTGATCATTTTTATTTTTGTTTAATATGGAAGAAACTCTGCCCGTGATGTGGAGAACAGATGGGCATGGAGAAGGCTGAAACTGGTAATATTAGTTACAGGAAGGACAATAAGCCTCCATCCCTCCTTCCAAGTTACTGACAATTTAATGGGAGAGAGAAATACATAAATACTCATAAGCTAATGCAGAACTCCTTGATTAGAGGGAGTTGGAGTGTACTTGTGCAGAAGATGGTCTAAAGAGGAAATTAAATGGGAATCTCATATTGACTGAAAAGTGAACAAGAAAAGGAAGATCACGAATTTTTTTCTGACAGAAAGATGATCAAAAGTTGCCTGAATTCTTTTTTCTTTATGATTTAAAAGCATGTAGTTTTATTTAGTGTTTTCTGAATCTTATGTATTATTCCTCACAATCTTGAACTTATTATTTTAACTCATATTAATTCATTTATTTATTTCAACATGTGTGTTTTCAATATAATTTAGAAACTGTTAATCAAGGTCCTTTCCCCCTGAACTCTGTTACAAAATCAAAACAAGACTCGAAAAAGTATGACTCAATGATAACTTTTAACATACTGGTCATCTTTTGAATATATGCCTTTTTATATAATATGTTCATATTATACAAAACAGATCACACAGTAAGACTGTCTTATAACTTTATCTAATCTATAATAAATAATCTTTATAACATTAAATGGTAGTTACTTGCTGTATATAATTCCATTTATAGACAATGCAATAAATACATTTAACCCATTTTCTATTGTTGAACTTTTAGGTTATTTTCATTTTCCCTACTCTAAGTAATGCAATAGATATCAATTTTTATAGATAAATCTTTGAAAACATTTGTGATGTTTTAAATATATTATTAAGTAGCAGGGTATGACAACATCTATTTTCTTTAATTAATATTTCTTTACAAATAAGTTTCCTTTCCAAATCATAAATTCTTGAGCTATGAATGTGGACTTCCTATAGTAGTGGAGCATGTGATGTTAGCTCAGCAGATTTTTTTCCTTCACTCTTGAAAGCTGCTCTATTGTCTTGTGTATCTTTCCCTAGTAATCTCAGAGCTGATGTTGTCTAAGAGTTGCTGATTTTGTACCATTTGTATCCTGTCACTTTATGCACAGATATGCATATCTTGGTAGTTCTGGGCCAGACAGCTCAATGATTTCCCCACTATTCTGAGATAATTATCTATTTCCACCCAATTGGACTCTGTAGTGGCCATGCTATCTCCAGGTGGAAGTTTAAAAGCTGGTATGCTTGTTGAGCCTTCCCCCCACCTTTTGACACAAGGTCAGGTCTGGATAGTGGCTGCCCTGTCAGTCTAGCTTTTGTAATGCACATTTGCAATAGAGCTTCAGCTACAGTGGACAGCAAGTAGGAGTGAGAAATAACCTCTGTCATTGTAAAGCACTGAAATTTTGGATTCATTTGTTATAACATATCACATAGATCTGCTCCTACCTAACTCATATAGAAAATAGCTATATATTTATGGAGAAAGTAATTCCATGAGAGATGGTCCAGACTATTGGATGATGGATGTTATCTCCCTAGGCTGACAACCTGTGTTGGTTGCTTCCTAACAGGTGATCTTGAGGACACTGTGTAACTTTTGCAAGTTTTCTTACAGACATGGGAAAATTCAGAGAAAAGTCCCTTCACATAATTGTTATAAAGATTGAATGAAACATTAGTGTCTAATATCTACTAATATGTGGAAAAATTTCAATATATACCAGGTAGTATTTTTAAAGTAGTATTAGAACTAGTCATTTTAAACAGAGAACATAACAATAAAAACTTGGGTTTTAGAAAAAGACATCCGACCTCAAAACTCAATTCTGCCATTTACTGTCTGTGTGAATTTGGATACATTACTTGAGTTCTCTGAGCCTCTGTTTATTCAGTCACAAAATGAAGATACTCATTGTATCACTGGGGTAGTGAAATAAGTTTGTGTATGTAAGGAGCATAATGCATGACACTTTGGAGAAACCCAATAAGGCAGCTGTTACAATGATTAGAAATCAATAGTGCCCACTACTGAAGATGTCTGAATGATGGGAAGAGATTGTGGCTACGATTGATCTTTTACTCTGGATGGTAGATTCTCACTCTGTTACTTTTGAATCTGCTGCTGCACTCTTAAACCAACTTGATTCCCTGACTGTAATTTTTATTTAAATTTCATGTAGCATGGCTTCAGGAACCATCATTGATCTAACCAGAAATCTCTTTGAAAATGAAGCCATGTTAAACTCCATAAAAATATGAATTACACAAAATTCATCCATCTGACCTAGTAAAAGAGAATTTAAGACACAGATTGAGAGAAAAACATTAGAGAAAAAGTGGACCTCCTTGGATCAGAGTCTTGATTTCCTATAAATAGGCCCTGTGAACTTGGGCAAAGGCTTCTGGGTACACGTTTCCTGATCTGTAAGGTTACTTTTTATGGCTCATGGCCAATGACTGAAGCAGGTGACACTGCAAGTTTGTTTGTCAAAGGCCTGAAGTGTTAAACAGGTATCTTATCCTAGCACATTAGTAGTTTTTTTTTTCTTTTCAAATGCAAAACGAGGTGGAAACTTTCAAGAATAAGTCATTTTTCAAAGTGACAATACACTAGAACCTTGCCTCTTAAAGCTCCTCAGGTCTTTAAATCCCTTAAGTAAATACAGAACAACCTAAAACAGCATCATCAACAATGACAACCAAAAAATCCCACCTACCCAGCCCCATGCCCAAGTTCTCTTAATCATAGCAACTGGTATACCATGGGCATGAAAGTAGGAAAAAACAATTACTTTTCAAAAACTATATTAATATATTTAAAATTTCCTTTCTCATTTTCATAACATCTAATATTCATTCATTTCCCTGTTTCCTTTGTGTTGAAGTTTTCAAATTACTTATAGAAAGTCATTTTTGCAGAAATAAAGTCCAACTTAAATACAAAAATATTCAAGATGTTATTTAAAAAAAATTAAAAATGTATGCAAAAGTGGCAGATATTTATAAAAATGTAAGAAATCAATAGAAGCTAAATTTCTTTGTTACAGTACCATTAATCTCAACATGATCTCAGACATCAGAATGAAAGAGAAAAATATGTAGTCCAATACCTGAGTGTTTACAAACATATTTGTTTTCCTTTTGTTTAAATAAGGCACACTTAAGTTTTTTTTCCATGTCAATTATTATAATTTTAACATGAGAATGTCCCTCAAAAGCTCATATGTGAGACAAAGCAAGAAAGCTCAGATGTAAGATGGGCTACGAGAATCTTAACCTAATCTTAAGTGCATTTAAGCTACTTAAATGGATTAACTGGGTGGTAACTATAGGCAGGTAGGGTGTGGCTTGAGGACTGGGTCAATGGAGTCCTGCCTTTGGGATTTATATTTTGTCAATTGTGAGGGGAACTTACATCTCTCTGCTTCCTGCTGTCCTGTCTGAGCCAATTTTCTCCACCACACTCTGCCATGATGTTCTACCTCCCCTCCTACTCTGAGGAATGGAGTAGGCCATCTGTGGACTGAGACTTCTGAAAGTGTGAGCCATTAAATAGAATTTTTCTTCTTTTAAATGGTTCTTGTCAGGTCTTCTGGTTACAGCAGTGAAAAGCCGATTAAAACACCAATAATATCTGTAAAGCATTACCACTTTTTTTTTCTGTTTTTGAACCAGAAGAAATAAGTGAAAATCAGGAGAAATCCTAAAATATTCAGGAGCCATTGAACAAGAGGAAATCTGCAAACAAGGTAAGTTTATTGACCTGCCAATAAAGAAGCAAATGACTCAAAACTTTCCATGCAAAAAGGGGTATTACATCAGAATGTCTTCATTTTGTGGACCAGCACAATTGTATCTATCAGAAGCAGAGCAGCAAATATTTACTTTCCTAAAGTACCGGCAGGTGAAAGGTAAAACAGGCAAAGCACAAACTTTAAGCGATGAATCAGGAGCAAGAGCAATGAAATAATGAGCAATGCAATGAAAGTCACAAAGCATTGGGATACATATGGGGACTTGCTAAGAATACCTTGTAGAGGGAGTCTAGGTAGGGGGTGTTAATGAGCCTGGTATACAATTAACTCAGAAAAGTGGTGGTGGGAGGTTTCAAGGATTGTGGAGGGCTTTGAACGTCAAGTCAAAGAGTCTGGATTCTGTTCTGGAGACAGTGGGAAACCAGAGACAGTTTGTGAAATGGGATGACAAGCAGGGGCTGTGCCATGGGAAGATTGATAACCTGGCGGCAATGTGCAGAAGCAAAGTGTATGCAGAAGCTTTCCTGGTTTTTTGGATGACAAGGAGCCATCAGGATACAAAGGGATTTTTTTGTTGTTTTGTTAGTAGAATTCTGATATTCTCAAATTTTTCTCTTAAGCTTTAAAATTTGTATAAATGGCAAAAACACGATGTTCACACATAAAGGTTTTTTGCAGTTTATAACAAAAATTGGGTGTCCCATTGTAAATCTATTTTTTTAATAAAGATTTTTCC